TACTAGTAAAGCATGAAGACACCCACAGACAACTATAAGATGTCCATATAAACAAAAAATTTACATTTTTCCGATATACTTAAATAGAACTTTTTAGAAAATTGATAAGTCTGATAGTTTTTTCCTAGAGATTGATCTTTCTATCTAGTCCGTTTACTGTTTTATGCACACTTTATTAAATCCCCAAAATATCAAAACGCACAATTGAGTTTCATTCAAAAACAAGTTTATATATCCTCTAATATATCATCAGCTACCTAACTGTTGATAGCTTGCTACACTGTCTGTAACTGATTTGTATTGAACCCTCCTGAACTTTAGTGATTAATGAAGTTTTTTTCGTGCTTTATGTGCAAGATATTTTTTTCGAGTAGCACGGAATTGAGACTGCAAAACTTTCGTCCAGTCTATACCCGATTAAACTCTTGATGAGTTTCATGACAATGAGTTTTCGTCCAATCAATTTTTCCTTCGTTTTCTTCAACAAATGATTTCGTTTTTTCATTTGGTATCAGTATATTATTGCTAGTTACTTGAAACAAAAATATATAAATAATAAATATAATCGCTTTTTTCAAACGTCTATGAAGATTGAAATCGCGAAAAGTTATACTATATGAAACTTTATTCAGTTTACAGTAGTTTATCTGATCTTTTCATGGTCAGACACCGGATTTTAGACTCGTATGGCTTAATGATTACATTTTGACGACATATTCTTCTTTATATATTTCTGAACTCTGATCGGTCTAGTTTGTCTAAATTGCTTTTGCTTTAACCAACTTCAAGCTATTCCTTTTCTATCAAAACATATTTTGCTCTGTATGTTTGATATTTATTATACCATTTTAACTTTATTTTTTGTTTAATTTCTAGAGTCTTCTCAGTTATTCTGCTACTAATACAATAAATGAGCAGAGACCATCAGAATATCAGGAGGTGATGTTTGTTGGCTCAAGACGACCATCAAAAACTGATTCAAATATAGAAAAGTATGTTCAACAATTGGTTAGTACAATTTATGCTAAAACAAATGAAATTGAACAAACAAAATCGATAAATGTCATTGAACATAAACTTTCATCTCGTACGATGTCAAAACGTTTACGAACACAAACATTACGCCCAAAAATAAATATTCAACCAACACATAGACGAAAAACGATCATACCAATTTCTAATAATGGAATTCGTGCAAAAAAATCACCACAAAGTAATTCACCAAATCCTCTATTAGATAATATTGTTAATCAAATTGTTAGTAATATAATAACAATAACGAATAAAAAAGAATTAGAAAAACAACCATCAACAATATCTACTGTTCCATCGTTACCATCACCATCAAATGAATCATCTAAAATATTTTCCTACATGTGTCCTATCTGTTATAAGGCTTTTGAACAATCATATTATTTACGTACACATTTTTTTAATTTTCATCAGATTCAAAAACCGTTTGTTTGTCAATATGATTGTTGTTTATCATCAAATGATTTAAATAATGATTATTTACAACATTTATGTAAAAATCATTCGGATAATCCACTTTTATTATCAACATTATTATCTTATCGTTTAAAACAACTTATTAATGGTTTTTTACGAAAATCTGATAATTCTTATAATAGAATAATGAAAACAATTGAAGATAAACAAACTAGAAGTGAATTAGAAACTATGTTAACGAAAAATTTTAATGGGTAAGAGAAAAGTTAATAGGAAAATATCATTTATCTTAAAACATTATTTTGAAAAAAACACAGCTGTCAATTGGATTTGAATTTTTTGTGTAGTATTATACTATTGGTTTTTGTTTAGAATTAGTAGTGATTCCTATTCCTATCGTACAAATGTATCTAATTTGGATAATTTATGTCTAACAATTGATGCTCGTATAGTATATCGTAAATATTTTGCCAAAATTCCCTTGCCATTAACAGCTGATCAATTAAAACCACATATAGGTCTCAATTATTATCAATGCAAATTATGTTCAAGTATATTTCGTTTATATTCCGCTTGTCAAGAACATATTAAAAATATTCATACATTTTCTAAATGTCGTACATGTTTACATTGTCATGAATTAATTAAAACAACAAATAATAACAATGAAAAATATCGACAACATTTAATTACATGTCCAACATTAACTCCAGCAAGTGACATTAATCAGAATATTGGAGAAATGAAAATGGATGAAGTCATAACATCAAATCTTAAGTAAATTTAATGTTTTAATATTTGTTAGTTGTCGATAGAAACTTTGCTCATTAATGATGGTCTTGAGTATTTTGTTTTTGATTACAGTGGCAAATTAAATGATTTTTAACGTATGCAAAACTTGGTCAATATTTGAAAAATTTACCAACTACAAATATGAAATAAAGTATCCTTTATCTCTTTTTTTTTGTTTTAGTTCGATGACTTCGTCTGATATTGAATCCGATAAATGCTTGTATAAATCTCGTGCAGAACAGTCAGCATTATTACCAGTAAACAAAACTTTCTACTTTGATTTACAAAAACATCAGGAAGAAGAAATGAATATAAACAATAAAAAACGTTGTTCAAATAAATCAATTCCTTCACCAAGTAAAAAACGTAAACAATTATCAGATTTGACCATACTAAAAGTAGTCGAAGATGTTGATAATCCACCATCATTTTTACAACGTATTTCGTTAGATCAAATATGTTCAAGACTTGTTAAAGGTATCGATATTAAAAATGAACAGTGTATGAATGCGTCTGATCTACTCGAACAATTAGTTGTACAAAATAAACCACTAACAAGGTTATACTATTATACATGCATCGATTGTGTAACAACATTCCCTGATATATTAACAGCATTAAATCATTTATTATTATTTCATTTACCAAAATGTTGTGTATGTGCAAAATGTTTAGCGAAATTTGGTCATTCACAAATAAAATCTGGATTAATAATAGATCATTTGATTTTATGTGAAACAAATAATCAGATAAATATATCATTTATGAAATTAATCAATAAAAAATTAAGTGAACAACAACAAGATAATCAACAACAACATTCATCAACGGCATTGTTAATGCGTCAGAATAAAAAGAATAAACAACTGCTAACAAGAACAACACTTGACAATCAATCGGTATGCGTATCCTGGGAAATGTTACGAAACCAAATATTGAAATAAACATATTCTGTACTTTAGATGAACAATGCATGGAGTAGTAATAGTAGTACCGCTGTTGTTTCTAACGAAGATGTTCAATTACCACCAGTTAAATCAGTAATTATTCCCTTTAATGATGTTACTAAAAAACAACAATATGAGAAACAATTATTATGTGATATTGATACTGACGTGATTTGTTCGTTATGCTTATTGAAATTTTCAACAGATATCGACTTAAAAACGCATATAACAAAGAGTCATTTAATTCACAACTGCATATTATGCTCAAAAATTGACAAAGAGGTAATAAGACAGACTGTCTTCAATGATGAACAGAATAAAAGGCTAATTAACTCGATTTGTCAGTTCTAAAAGGAAGTATCTCTGTGATTCTTCAGAAATCTTCTCACAACCTAATAGTAGATAGGAGCTGTATTTGTTCCAGTAAATGCGAATATTCTGAAATTATCCCTTGAGATTGCTGTAGTGAATTGATACTGAAGACCGAACGTGTAGATGGAAGACGCTATATTAACACGAATAGACGTTTTTATTATTTCTTAGGATGAACAGTTTATTGGTTCAACATCTTATCATGATCACTTAATCTCGTCTCATTCATCAAAATCGACACCATTTTACCGTTGTTATTTATGTTCGGTCAAGTTCGAATTAATGTCTCAATTATGTTTACATTTACAAAAAGTCTGTTTATCACAATGTCAACGTTGTGATTTGTGTCAGCAGTCAGAACACGTCAATTTTTCAACACCAATTGATTTATTTCAGCATATTATCCAAGAACATCAAAACATCATTCAACTTTATCAGCAATGCCCTGTATGTCTAGCCGATGTTGACAAAGCTAATTTAAAACAACATTTTGAACATGAAACATGTCAGCACAAAATAAAAACAGAACCAATCGAGTATTCTAGTGGCAGTTTAGTCATGTTAATTAAAGTTTATTGCACATTATGTAAACAGATATTAACTTTAAGTAGTTTAGACGATATTCAAAGACATTTATGTTCAAATGAACAACTATTTACGAATACCGGTTCAATGACTGAATTGATTATCGATTCTGTGTGTTCAGTAGCTAATGAAACTTTTATGGATAGTGATATAAGTGAAGATATGAATGTATTATTACCGCAAACATTTTCATTGTCATTGATCCCATCAGCTGGATGTTCGAAAGATCTAACATTTGTTGAAAATGAACAAGCAATTAATAGTCAAATAAATAAAGGTAAATATTATGTTAAATAATGCCAGGCATACAATTGCGGCGATTTATTTTTTTTGTTCTAGAAACCGCAACTACGGTGAACAATACTACTGATTTCGACGAAGTGATATTAATAGAGTCAAGTACCGTAGAAGAAAAAAATGCATGTATACCATTAAAAACTGTTGTATCAAAAAGAAAAGCAAAATCCAATCCATCATCTTGTTCTAATGTTAGTGTTATATCGCGCCATGGAAGAATAAGAAAGCCAACATCAAAACAACAGAGTCTATCACTATTGCTTCGTCACAATAGTGTGAAGAAGTGCTTAAAAAAAAATAATATCGATGAAAAACAACTTCTGCCATCACCTCCACCAACAACTGAACCAAAACTAATAACAGAAAAGTTATTGGAGAAACGAGATTCAATAACAACAATAATTACGAATGAACGGGCTATATTAGCATGTGAAACATTAATAACACCAACAACACCAATAACAGCAACAAGTCTACAAACTTCACCAACATCCACAATAACGGTATGTTAAATGAACAAAGGAATTGGTTCTAAATCACAGAATTCAGAATTGTACTGAAGAACTATCTTGAATATTTTAATTAACAATATCTTTCGAAGGTTGAACTTTTGTTAGTGATTAGTTCAGAAAATGCGTATTGATAACCTTTCTGTTCGGTAAGTAGGCAGTATGTTTTTGATATTCTTTCGCAAAGCATGACGAAAAACAGATGATAATCAATTTATTGGGCAGAGATTTTTTAAAGTCCAAATTTAATAAATATAAAAATAAAGAGTAACACAAACGTCTTTTCTTTCAACTATACGTCTTCTTTACGTTTTGTTTTTCAGCCGTCAACAACAGTAAGCAAGACACAACTATATGTTGATGATGAGAATCAAAAACGTTTATTTGATGAAAAATCGTCGTTATTGTCGATGTTACCAGCGTGTAATAATATAAATATAAACAATAATATTTTCAATAATGTATCCTGTACTCAATCCACTTCGCCGGTCATAAATCCTGTTTTATTGAAATTAATGACGTCCTCTCATTCACAACAATTTTCACCGCCTGTAACGACAACTCCAGCAATACCAACATTGGATAATACTGCTCTAATGAATCTTCTTCAATCATCGACAAACGATATTTTGTCAAAAACAATTGCTGCATCATTATTGCTCAATATGAATACAAATACAGCAGATATACCAGCTCAACCACAACAACAACAGAGTGCTACTAATAATGGTTTGGTGTTACAATTACCACCATCATTTTTCCAAAATGTACAAACAAACGGTTTAGAATTAAAACTTCTTTTACCTATGAATAATGATAATTCTTGACTATTTTTCAACTTTTCTTTTTACTACGCAAGGATAAACTCGCAGAAAGTAGATTTTCATTGTTTTTGTTGCTGTACTTTTTGCCTCTTTATTGTTTTCTTCCAATTGACAAAATAGATCATAATTGTTTATGTTAGGCTAATTCGTCTCATTGTTGTTTTTATTTACACGAGTAGTTTTTCTTTAGTATATTTCATCACGCTCAGTTTTTTTCTGAATGTCAATTTTATACTTTAGAAACACACGTGCGAATACTTTTTTTTTAAACTTCCTACTTTGTCTTTTCACACAAATTATTTCATATACCTGCATTTGTCGCTTCTTTTCACTGTTCCCAGGCGAACATTTTTGGTTTTATATTGCTTGTTTTTGTCAAATATTTATTTGCGGCACATCTTTTCTTAAAGGAAAGCTGTATTATACTAAACACATTTTCTCGTAATGTATTTTTACATTCTTGTTTGATTTCATTTACACAGCTGAAAACAACAATATTATAACATACCAATAAAATGTGATGATGATAATGATGGGTGAAATGAATCATTCTGTGATGTGAACTATAGAGAGAACTGATTATCGCATTATTCTTTGTTCACTTAGTGGTAGCGGTCCCTACGACAAACGAGAACAAAGCTGACCTGATATTATGTTTGAAAATAACGGCTCTAAGTCGTAAGACATAGATATGTCATAAAGTTTCTGAAAACATGAAGGATATCCCGTTATTTTCAACGGGATCCGATTTCTAGAACTATGAATTTACAAATCGTTCCAGAAAAAAAAGTCCTTAAAAAAAATCGTTTTTAAGATTCATCTTTGACGTTTGGCATAGTAAGTCTAACAGGAAAAGCTCCAAACTTCTTAACTGCACCTTCAAAAAATCGATTTTTTGCGGACAGCGCCGCTAAAAATCACTTATTCAACAAAACAAGGTATACCGAAAATTTCAGCAAGAAATTTTCTACAATATGATGGTTTCTTTTAATGACAAACAAGGTTTTTTTAGATGAAATCAGAGTGAAAAAGAGTCTTTAAGAAAGGTCATTTTAAATTTAATAATTTAAATTTTCCGTTTTTTGACCTAAAGAAAGGTCAAAAAATTGTGATAGGAAAAGCATCTGAGTTTCTACAAAATTGTGTCGCATTTATGCAAAATATTCGGAATGGTTTGAGGTCTCAGAATCGGAATGTACTTTTAATTCAGAAAAATGTATCACCAAAACGCCAACTCAGCAAACAAACTCGATCGTACGATCTTTCCTTTTACTATAAAATTATGAAATCAACTCGATATAAAACTGCGAATGGCCAGTTCTATGAGAAAATTTAAAAAACTGTGGGATGAGTTAAAAGTTATACCTGAGAAGAAACCAGTAGTGAAAGATGTAAATAGAAGAGCAGATATTGTTTTTCACCAGATGCGAGCGGGTCTTTCTACACTCGGACATGATTTATGCCGTAGAGCAATCGATGAAACACCAAACTCACAGTTCTGCTCATGCTCTCATTTGGAAACAGTAAAACACTTCTTTCTGCATTGTCCAGACTACACTACTGCTCGTATAAAATTATTTGATACATTACATGAGTGTGATCCTGATCTAAATATAGATATGAATATCCTTCTTTTATCTTCTAATTGGAAGATCATAAAATTAAAATCCAGAATGTTTTCAGAAGGAAAAAACGCATGTAATATCACGTGTAGTAGAAAAACAATGTTATCATTGAAAATTGTGCGGTTTGGAAAAACATTGTTTTGCTTAAAGAAGAAAAGTTCAATAGCTAGCGAATTTAGAAAGATGTAAAGCTCAAATTTTCTGTAATATTAGCAGACTATTAACACACGTGGGCAGCTGAAGATCTTCCCTCGTCAGTGAATACAGCTGTTCTGAAATAAGCATTTCAACTGGAAGTTCCAGTAAAGATAACTTTCAACGAGTAATACAAAATTGAAATTATTTTCTATATTTTAAATTGTGCCGCAAAATGTTCAACCCGAACCCGACCCGATCCTAAGGTCGGATCTGGTTCGAGTCAGGTTGCAGGTCCCTACTAAAGAGCTGACTTTTAACCAGCTGAAAACTTTTAAGAAGCTATCTGTTCACAGACACCGCCTTTTGTCAGTTATGTCACCACGTATCATGGCCTAAAAACAGACATTCAGCTATATGTACTTGAAACTGAAATCCAAATCAGCCGTAAATAGGTCGTTAACAGCCCGTAATGATACAATAATGGCTTAAAAACATCCTCCAAAACAGCCTACAAATGTCCATTTAATCGGCACTCGATGGGTTATAATGAATATCTAATAGACAATTGTTATACCATTTTCGTTGACTAGCGTTAAACCAATTTTTAATCCATAATACAGGACTGCACTAACAGTTAGTAGAGGCGCACCATTTCATGTTCATGATTAGTTAGTCAATTTAGCCGTCATCTCTTCTCTAAGAAGAGTATATATGACTTTATTGAAGCACAAAATAATCAGAAACATCATAATTTCAAAATTTGTAGTTCCAATCTTTTCCATATATTTTATCATTATTGGATATGATCTGTGCAACAAAATACTCAGACCACGCCCATATTTGCTGAATAACTGTTGATTGATTGAAAATATGTTTAGGATGTTCTCTTGTTTTAGGAAAACCACTATTCTCATTCAAGAAGAAAAGTTCAATAACAAGCGAATTTAGAAAGTTATAACGCTCAAATTTTCTGTAATATTAGTAGACTATTAGCAAAAGGAGTATTGTAAATTTTTACTGTACATCGTTCAAGAATATCCATCATATAATATGTAGCAAAATTTGCTTGCACTTTATCGTTATCGTTTATTCAACAAACTGAAAACAAGAGCACTTGGTTAGATAAAACTCAATGTTTTCAAGTTTGATAATATTAATTAATCTTTTCCATCTGTGATATTTATACAACATCAATTGGAAGGAAATCGATCTGAACTGTGCCTGCATGTGCTCTTTTTCTCATAAGAATTCGTTAATCATCAGTGATTTTTGACCTACCTAATGAACTTAAATATTCAAGATATTTCTTCTTGTGTCTCCTACAACAAAACATAATGCGTTTAATTTTGTCGATAAAGCTTACATTGAGTAAAAGAAATTCCAGTATCAACTGCTAAACATTATAGTAACTTTTTGACTTTACTTTTTTACAACACATTTTGCTCTTCGACACGTATTATGAAAATTGTTCATTTTAGACCTTATCTAAAAAGCTGTAAATTCTGCAGTGAGCAGGAAAAGAAAGTGAAGATGAGTTACAAAAAAATTATAACAATCGTTAACATTTTTGAAAAGATGATGTAATCTAATCACTCAAGTTTTACTGTGAAACAATTCAAAATATAACATCAAAAGATCGACTTACGACGGAAGGTCCTCAGATGTCCCCCTGGGATTTCAATGAAATGTACCCTTCTTTGCTAATTTTAAGGATGCTGATGATTACGAATCTGATGAAAGAAACATCAAACAAGTGAAAAATGTGCAACATTTAAAAGATTTTTTTACTCAACAATCAGACGTTCTCTGAAGCTAAAACACATAATTTTATAGCTAAGGTGTTTATCTGTAGAATGGCATATCTATCAGCTCTATTGAACCAATCTGACTAATGAATCTATCAGCTCTATGGAAAGTTGTGATTTTTTCAAAATACGGGGTACTTTTCGCTACTATTAAAATAAAATGCTTATAACTCTTCAAGGATTGAACGAGAGCACAAATAGTTTTCAGATTCGTAATCAGCACCCTTAAATTAGCAAAGTAGGGTACATTTCATTGAAATCCCAGGGGGACATCTGGGGAGCTTCCCTCGTTAGTACACCTTTTTAAGTTCTCTCCAATGAGCTAAATTTCATTAAAATATGACTACATTTATAAGGCAAAAAAAGTTAAAAATCGAGGCTGATTTGATCATTTCTCTAATTGTGATTATTGGCTCAATGGAACTGAAGAAGACGGATCGACACATTTTTCTGATGTACTCGGGGATATAGAGATTATCAAGTAAAATTTTTAAGCGTCGATAATAATCAAGAGCCAGGTTAGAAACTAATTAACTTGCTAAAAAAGAATTTGATGATGACTTATCTAGAGGATAGAACTAAAGGCTACGATAAAACTTTCAATCCCGATCTGGAAGCTTTGAAATCATTTATTCGATTATTAAATATATATGATAAAAATTAGTCATAATCAACAAAAATTCTTTTGATAACGTCTCAACGATATTGAATTATTGGAATGAAGCAAATAAAATAACTATGATATTATACTACTTTTCTTTCTTTGAGATTTACTGTTACACTTACACCGAATTTAACAATGAATTATTGCTTTCATTCGTAAAGATGAGTCAATTAATTCAGTATACTCTTTAGGTTCTTGAATAAAAATGAATACGTTTCATTTTATCATTTACACATTTGACTTTTCTTAGCTTAAATATAAAACAATAAAATCACTGTTAAAGAAAGAAAAAAATTGTCATTACATTTGAATAACAACATGTTCTAAACTTTTTTTGTATACAACGTCCCAATGTTTTTCTCTACATTCACAGAAAAATGTGCACATATTCGAACAATAACCTTCATGAAATGGATTATATTCTTCTGTGATATGTTTCAAATATGTAATTCGATGACGTGCAACTTTTTCCCCTAAAATAATAAAAAGGAATCTGAATTAAGAATAGGTGTTTAAAAGATCAGGGAAAACTGACAACATGCGTATCAATTATAAATCTTTCTAATAACAGACGAAAGCATTTTCACAATTTTTATCCCACTGAACGTCACTACACAAAATACTCGACATAAACTTCAACTTCATGAATGTGAAAATGTCGCTTTGGCAGTATTGAAAACTTTCTTTTTTTGTAAATGAAATTCTCGCTTTATGGAATTGTTTAGTACAATCGATATCGTATCAATGTTCTTCTAGGTGATTTTAAAGTAATCGTATATTGAAACTAAATATGCGGTTCTTTCGGAATTCTTTTGGCTGCTGTCGTTTTCAGACCACCCATTTTTCATCCTGTTGGCAAAGGTGGGAGTAAAGGTCCCATGTAGTCCAAAATCTCGGAAAAAAACGTCGGTTTTCAGCATTACAGGTAACATTAGATAGATTACTTTTTGCAGGCATTCGCGGCGATAATCATATTTCCGTAAGAAAACATAAAAATTTCAGAAGTAGCCTTATTGTGCAGAGAATACTTAGCTTTATTAGACTATGTATAACAAAAAATTTTGAAGGCACTGAAAACGAAAACAAATTAACAAAACTTAACAGATTGATTTTTCTAGTCTCTTGAACACAAACTTAAGAAATTCTTAAGAATAACTCTTCAAAAAAAGGCCACGGAGGATGGTCTTATTTCGTAGCCCAGACTTTCCTCTATATTAGGCACTGTTCAATTCAAAATAAAAGACTGTCACAAAAAGTGAGGAATGGAATATATTCTTAACAGAATTAGTGTATAAGATGGTTGGGTGACAAACGGTCATAGTAGAAACATAAAACAATCATGTAACAAACAAATGACTTACACGTTGTGGTATTTGTACACATAAAAACTGAATGAATTAAAAATAAAATTGTGACAGCAAATAATGATACAATAAGAATATGCATGGAAAATAAACGGAATGCATTTTTATGTAACCACATTTGCCACTCATTAAAGTAAATAAATGATCGACTAGGAAAAAAAGCATAAAACAGAAATACTTAACTCAATGTACTTCATTGAACAATAACTAAAAAGCTAGCTATGCACTTAATGTGAGCGATCAATTGTTAATTATGTTAAAACACTCGACGCTGTTTTCTTGACATCAGGAGGAATGGAAAATAAGGCGCATTCACGAAAAAAATGTTTGCATCAGATTGAAGAATCACATTTAAATTTAATCGATCTATTTTAAAGTACTGTAATTTTAATATTCCTTCAACAGTATGTAACAAGCAAGAAGATTTTCTTACCCACATATAAGTAGTGACCATATAACTAGAATATCTGTGGTCAATAAGAAAAACCAAAAGAATCGATGATTACGTTCACCAATACATGTTTCCAAATAGGGACACTACGAAGGAAATACGAGATAAACAAGATACAACAATTTAATCTTACTCTTACATGATGATCATATTTTCTGACACATCTGTTACAATAATCACAATGATGACTTCTCAGAGGTTGCTGTAAACGAATAATAAAACAATATAATACTAAACAACATCATAGAGGTTTTTATTGACCCACTTGTATATTACAATGTAAACATTTTCTCATTGGTACACTATTAGTTGATGTTGTGCTTGATTGAACAGCATTTTCGATGTAAACTTCATCGTCTTCACTATCAGATGTGACAAGAGTATTGTGAAACTAAATCAAATAAATAAAACAACAACTTTATCTTCTGATTGAAAATAAAATTTCATACTTTATTATAGGGTACGTATCCCGGATCGATATAACATGTTAGGAAATAGAAAAATAATGAAATGTACACTAAAAATCCATACAGGAAACAATAAATATAATTTGAACTATGAATAGCGTAATTGAGCTCTAAATTTTAAACAAAAACAAAAAATAAAACAAATTATGTTGTTTTTAACCTTATTAAATAAATAAGTATACCTGATGATTGAAAAATAAGTGTTGATATAACAAAAAATACTAAAACTAAATGAGTTGCACGCACTAATATTTTTTTCCATTGAAAATAGTCATGAAAAAATCTCAAGCATTGCATTAATAATAACTGTTAGAATAATAGATAATAATCATAGTCTAGAAAATTATACAGTATAAAATGGACAATATTACAGTATATGATAAAATACAAGCTGTGGCCATATACAATTGAGTAAAATTTGTACGCTATAGTCAATTGAATAGAACACAGAAAATAGAGAGAAAAAAATGTGTTACATAAACAACAAATTTTACTGTCTTAAAAATCAGTATTATTTATTATCTCCAAAAAAAACAAAATGACTGAATTAAAAGTTTTCGACACCGTTGCAAAAAGGGTACAGTGAATTTGAGTGTTCAAGTAGAATCAAGCGCTGACATTAGGAACTGAATTTGCTAAATGTGTATTTACTAACTATTTTGAAAAAATTAATTTAAATTTCAGTTTTACTCATTGCGTTTTATTCTAAAATAGATGAATGAGTGATAATATAACCCACCCGTTTTCCTTTATCTAACTTAATCACCCCATCAATCAGCAAGACAAAAATAAGAATACACAGAATAAAAACATTTATTAATAGTTTTATTTATATAATGTTTAAGAGTGCACTTATCCATCGGACAATCTATAACTTGATTGTAGGTATATAATTGCGTATAACAAATCTAAAATTTCCCCTACTCTACGTAGGGGGGATGTCCTTTTGTTCATTGATAGGAGGCTCTTATCTAACCGTAATATTGAAATATCATAGCCCCTCCTCTTTGGTTCTGTTCCTACGCTTTCAAAATCCTTGTTCCTCCTTATCTTTGAATCTATAACCTGGAGTGGTTGAGAAGATAAGGGGGAACAAGGATTTTGAAAGCAACGGGCAAAGGGAAAGGGGGTTAATATTAGTCGCGAGAGAAGAAGATATGTGTTAACCCTATTGCGTATATAAATAGGAATAAAACCTGATAGCTTTATCATTGGCAAGTTTTTAGGCATATCACGATTGTTGAACAACTTATAGAAAATGGGAATAGGCTGAATAAAGGATTATGTAAACACTAACCAGGGTGACCCCTAACCCCTCCAGGTCTAGACAGCCCCTAGATCCACCCAAATAATAAACTTAAGTTGATCCTTATGTCCCCATTAGTTCAAACGTGAGCTTAAGTTGAATAGTTTAACGGTAAAATCCTTCGGACCCGCTATGCGGAATCATAGAGGGTCTATCTACTTAAGATTGCACTCAGCAGTCGAAATCTTTGAGCTACCTCAGTTCAAGTTAGGCGGTCCACGGATCCTTAGATATTCAGCATCTCATTGAGAGTTACTTTCGTTACTAAGGGGTAAGTTAGATGAATAAAATGACCGTAGCCTAAGCTTGAAATGTGCACATTTTTAGAGACATACCCTAATCGGGCGAAGACCCATAGATAGCTTTAAAATTAAGGTTAGCACCCTAACAAGGCTCACAGATAGGATTGTTCCACCCTTATCTCTTAGGGAAGTCTAATAATTTTAAAGTGATGTTCTACTCTTTCACAATACTCTATCCACAGTCATGGTGCGCATAGTTGCCATGTCCTGGAATAAGGACATACCCTTTTATGATTTTTGGGTCGTGTTTATACACAGATTCTTGAAAAAAACAACCAAGGAGCATGTAGTACCAACTTGTTTCTTATTACCAAAAAACGAAATCGCTGCTTTAAGTATTAAGAACTAATTCGCCTCACTTTCAAGGACTTTTTATATCCGGGTTAATCCTCCAGGGGGTAGATCTTACTCTGTGATAATATGATACTATGCAAACAATTTACCACACACTAAAAACGAATATTTACAATCATTCATTTATGATTTATGTTTTTGCTGCATATTTATTTATTCTCCTTTTTGTGTTAGATTCACATGTAGTTTTTCTGTCGTGTATGACGTCACGTTACATCATGCTCTAGACTCAGTCACCCTTGACCCATGCGCAGAAAAAAGACTTTTGTGAACACAAGCACCACCCATTGCAACCACCCAAGGCATCATCCAATAAGGAATTAGAACTCTTACGTATTGACTTTTGGACAATTTGGTCTAAAAGTAGATACGATTGCCTCACGAAGTTGTGTCAAAATACTAAATTGTAGTCTGTTAAACAAAAAAAAGGTTTTATTGTTTTTAAACAAGTCATACATCTCGTTTGATATCGAATGTATTCTCAAATTTGTTCGACATACAACAACTATATAATGGTGATTATCATAATTTATTAGAACTACACACAGAGAAAAGTACCAGCGGCTTGTTGAAATAGAATCAAATTTTGTAAGACGAATTCGAGATATCGCAGAAGCACTCAAACATTTGTATAAGGAGAAAGAAGACAAAGAAGAGAGCAAGAAAGTAGCTCACAGTTAACAAAGTTAACCTGTACTGGAAAGAATAGAATAAAATATCAGCTATCAGCGACACGTGTTTGTTTAGTCTTGTTTTACTCTAATCCTTCCTAAAAAAATGTTGCGGCCCTCCCCTTAAAAAAATCCTAGCCATACCACTCCCAGCTGATTTCTATTGTTAACAACAGATCAGGCATACCTTTTCTGCTAGACCAATACACATTCATTTTTTCAACAGAAAAAACACATTCAACAACACTTACAAAAATCAAATATATGACATTGACTATTTCTTTTATGATTTTCTTTTAACACTTAAAAGTGTTTTTCGTGAATGCTTTTGAATGAATTTTAAAAAACACCAAACTGTGGAACAAATCAAAACAAACTACGTCTAATTGAATTTGTGGATGTTTTGCTATATGTGTGGATTTTTTTTTTACTACGTACTGCTTTTATTCGATCTGATTTAGATAGAATTAGATTCTAAAACTGATTACAATTGATATCAATCCGATATGTGACACATGTGAAAAAAGGTTTACGACGTCATGTTAATCAACTGAACTCTTTTACAAATATATACTTTTCAGAAAAAAAATTCCAGAAATCGAAAAAGCATCTCAAAATCGGAAGAGCTGACAACCCTATAGCAGATAGTCAAAGATTCCTAATCCTATTTGCAAGTATTTCTTGTATAATCAACAACGTTACATATAAGCACTATCGGAAGAAAATAGTTGGTATGCTTTCGGATTCAAAATATCTGCAGAATGTCAATCTGTGTTTCCTGAACTTTTTAGAAAAAAAGAAATAAGACCTTTGTTTCATTTGATTAGATGATACTCTTGACTAATAATATAAACATTGCACAAAAAAAACCAAGCGCATAGAATATGGCGTGGGTGACAAAACGAAACATGAAATGAAAATGAAAATTTTTCCACCAATTAGAGAAAAATGTCTCTTGTTTTTTTACATTTTCATTTTTCAAGTCCTAAAGCTGACTGCTTTGCAAAAATTAAAACCTTATCCATCCTATTGTTATGCGGTAACTTTTCTTAAAAAATTCTGTGTAAACTCATATGAACTAGCGACCTCTAAATTTGAATTTGACAGGCTTATTATTTAATCAGAAATTTTACAAAATTTCGAATTTGACCAATCTTTTCTTATCAGCTTAAGGATATTGTTCATATTTTTAAGTGTAACATCATGTTTTCAGTTGAAATTTCAGTTTTCAATCAGCATTTTTGAGTTGTTTTCAGTCCTAGTTGAGGATTCCGAAAAAAATATTGTGTGAATCGCGCGAGGCTTTCAAATATTTTTTTAATTTTTCGAATTTCTTTTATAATTTAGATATTTCGATGTTTTGTTCAAATGAAGGTCGAGTCTGTTTCCAGCTAATCGTTTTTAGTGCTGCTCAATCAAAATTGTGGCAGACAGTTACGAAAAATTGTGAATAATCGGGATATCGGCCAATGTTGTCGAAACCGGCGGTTAACCACCGGTTTTGCCTACATCGGGAAGTTTTATTGAAAACTTTTTCATTAAAAAAAAAACTTTCATTAAAAGGAAGTTAATTAAATTTTGATGAAATTCTTGTGTCATCAGAAACTCTAGGTCATATCCATTTTACACGAGACATTTTAACGAAAGTCCTGGTACTTTTGTTAAAGAAAAACGTTTTAATGAAAGTTTTTTTAATGAACGTCACCAAATCCGGATAATCGAATCGAGTACAATCGAATATCCAAATTCCTCAATGTTTTAAATGTCATTATGAATAACATAATCTTATATCTTGTACATCGTGTACGAGATATGTATGTTCGAATTGCCTGGATTCGATTATTCACAATCTTATTCATGTATATTTTATACAATCAAACAGCTAACTATGTTCTTCGATGATCTTTAAACATACTTTTTTTCCAAATTAGATGTTGATTCTATCTTTTCCGTTTATTGGACAATCTACAGGCTTCTGGTTCGATTTAACTTAAGTCCGAGTCATTGGTTATATGACCGATTGTCTCTCAAGTAAAATAGTTGGTGTTAGATATATTGATTTTTGATTTCTTTTTGTCGTATAGGTAGAGAATTTTACAGTTTATATGAATAGCTTTACTTACATGTGATCTGATTGCTGATTAAGGCTGTAGATTAATTATTCTACAATTTTTTATGAAGAAAAATACAATTAAGGGCCCCCCCTCAGAAATGGTGATTTTCGATCAAAAAATCGGTTTTGAGATACGCACATGAAAAGATAGCTTGAAGTGTCTACTTCCAGAATCTGTATTGCTTTTGGTTACAAAAGTGGTTTTTCCGGGATTTTGAGCAAGTTTTCTAAGAGCCTCGAAAAAACGGGTCTTCAAATAATGATTTTTTCCTGGATACTTATGCAATTAAAAATTTTCTGAAAACACAGCTTTGTACAGCAGACGTTTCTGACCAAAATAAGACTTCGCACAACTCTGTATGACCTTGCATCGAAAACTTACAGGCATTTTCCTAGAAGTCATGAAATCGACTATTTCATACAGCGTTTAATACAGCATTTTCGCTATATAAGAGTTACACCTGAAGTGCGTTCCAAGATTTTTAATAGCGGTCTGTCGTAGAGAGTTCATTCTTTTTTTGTTTAAAAGAGGAAAAGAAACTACATCGACTGACCGGCGTCGATTTTTGAATTAGGTCTTAGTTTTTTGTCAAACTGAGGATTTTTAGAAAATCCGGAAGG